CGCGGCCCTCTCACGGCCAGGAAGGGGAGTCCAGAATGTTCTGCTCATGGCGGGGGGTGCTCTCTCGTCACTGCCTCTCGGGTCTCCCCAGGGCCCCAGCCACTCCGCTCTCTGTTCCCTCCAAACCTTTCTCCCCGTCCCCCCAACGCCACCCACCCGTCTCCGAGGGCCTTCCCCGCCTGCCATTGGCTCAAACCACGATCGCTGCTCCTGCCACCGCGGCAGCGCCAGGCTCTGTGGCCCCAGCACGCGGGAACTTCTGTCCCCATGTCACTGAGGAGGGGCAGACGCAGGAAACCAGGGGTGATTTTCGAAACAGTTAACCCCAGTGTGGCTGTTAACCCAGGATGCTGGCCACTCAGACCAGCGGGCAAACGGGTCACGCTGGCTGAAAACCGGTCAGCTCTGCAGGGAACCCCCAAGGTGGTAAAGGCTTGAACACGACGGTGCGTGGTGCGGATTATTAATTCAGGAAGAGGCAGTTTCCGTGGAGGAGAGATTCGGCTGGGCTGGAATCTGGAACGGGGGGGCAGGGGCTGTGCCAGGACAGGAAGCGGCCCTGAGGCTGGTGCTTGGTGCGATGGGGGTGGCCGTTCCAAGCGAGACACGGCCATGTCACAGAGGGTCTGGAGTGCCGGACAGTGGGGCACAGGCCGTGAGAGTGCGCGAACAAGGACTGAAGGAGGCCCTGGAGAGGAACCCACCAGAGCCAGCCACGTTCTGGGGTCCGGAGCTTCCTCCCCGAGGCAGGAATGATGCCAGCTCAGCCGGGGCGAGCCCCCACCGCACAGGGGTGCGAGGCTCGCAGAAAACTCCAGAATCTGGTCCTCCGTCGTAGGTCTAGGACCCGGGTGAGAGAAGTGCATACCACTCAGCGAGTGCCCCCCGAACTCAGGAATCTAGAGAAATAATATTTCAATGCAATATTTTTTAAAAGTTAAAAATTAATGCAAAAAAAGTCCATGGTGAACAAAATACCACACGTTTAAATAAATATAGGCTCCAACCCTGTTCTTGTGCGACGTCACCTCGACACTTCAGCCTAATCCTGGCTGTGACGGAACACCTGCTTCTGGACTTTTCTGCAAGCCTCCACACTTTTGTTGGCTGCGGGTGTAGCATCCTCAGGGCTTGGCCTAGAGGGTGGTGACGTTCTCCATGTTCCTGGACCTCCTGGAGGACAAGCAGCGCCTTTGCATGCCACGAATGGAAACTTTTCAGGCTGGACTTAGCTGACCCACAGCAAGGCAAGTAACCGAGGTGGCTAAGCAGGGTGTCTTCCAGTCACTACCGGAACTAACGAGAGCCCAGGTTCACATTACAATCCAGCTGCAGCTGCTGCGGTGGTGGATCCTCCTTACTGCAGACTTGTCTCCCTATTGTATTCATCACCTTTTCCCCGCTACAAACGCTA